CTCCATCCCCAGCGCCTTCATCCCCAACAAACACACACAAGAGACAGCCAGAGATGCCCAGGGAGACCCGCTCGCGGAGCCAGCCCAGAGAGGCGGGCACCCCGCCCCCTGAAACTGGGCGCCGGAGTCGCCGGGGCGCCAGAGGAGAAGCCCCTGGCCTCAGCCCAGCATTTTTGTGGATGTGGGGCCTGAAGCGGTGCTCCAGTTGGAAGGTGGGAGGGGGTGGCTCTTAAGCGTCTTGCACCTGCCTTCGCACGGGCAGTCAACCTCTGTACTTAGGAGATAATGCGTGTGAGCAGGGAAGGGCAGGGGCCGGGGCTGTAGGGATCCACAGAGAGTCTGGCGCTAATGGACCATCTTGGCAGGTTTGGCACAGCCTGCCCGCCACCCCCCAGCACTGAACCCGGTCGTCCCTTTGGAGAGGAGCCGGCCATGGGGCTGCAATGAGGGTGCGCCTTTGGGCGATCCTTTGTGTTTTGCCACTGCTATCCCTCAGAACTCCCTGCTTTCCCACCTGGAATCACTGGAGCTGGGATTTCTCAAGTTGAGGAGCCACAGCAGCGAGCAGGTGCGCGCAGAGCTGCCAGGCTGCCGCCTGCTCCGACCGCAGGCCAAGAGGGGGACCCAGGGCAGAGAGGCGGCTGCGGAGCTCGCGCGCTGCCTGCTGGTGTGTTTTAAGTGCTAATGATTTGCCGCATCTGGGTGGTTTTTCTATTTTTCCCTGTATAATCTTCATCTTGGCCTGCGCCCCACCGCCCCGCGCACATCCAGCATCCAGGAAGCCAGTGGGGCCCATTGGCTTTGGCCGCGTGCAGCTTTATCTCCTTTTAAATTAGAAACGGGGCGGAGGGACCTGGGAGGGAAGAGAGAAAGGGAAAACAGCAGACAATAGGAGCCCCGCCCACCCTTAGGCCGACCTCCCGCCAGCTCCAGGGCCTCATTGGATTGGCTCTGCGGGGGCCAGCTGCAGAGAGGGAGCCACGCAGGACGCTGGCCTTCTGCCTGAGGCTGCCCTCTGGGTGGGAAGAGGCCCAGGTTGGGAGGTGGGAGTTGCAGGGTGACTTTGGGCCAGACCCTGCTGCTCCCTGGGCCTCGGGTTATTCACCTGTAAAGTGGACATGAGGGATGAGGTCCCAAAGTCCCTAGGAGGTCTCCTAGGTCCCCAGGTGAGGCTGGCTCCTGACCGCTTCAGTTGCTGGTGGGGCATCTGTGGCAGTCTTATTTTATTTGGATAGTTCAAGTGACTCCAGCACTAGCCCCTGGTAACAATCAGATCCAGTATGAATAATAATCACAATGACACGTTCATGCAGTACTTACTGTGTGCCTGGCACTCTCTAAGCACGTTCAGTTTTTAACACATTTAGTTTTCACAGCCCATCATGAGGTGGGGGCCAATTATCAAAACCCTCATTTTAGCGATAAAACTGAAGCACAGAGAGGGACACAAGTCACACAGCTAGTAAGTGAAAGAGGCCTAGATGACAACCTAGGCCAGACCCCTAGGTGCTACCTGTTGTTCCTGTAAACTTCTGACCCCAGGACACCATTGTGGCTCATACAGGTATTTCCTGGTGGTCAGTTAGGTGTTTCGAGGTTTCCCCTGACTTGTGGCCAGAACACCTCCACTTAATCTTCCGAGGCTGTCACTCCTTCAGGCATTACACACCGCCTAGTTGTGTATTAGACTCTGCTTTCATGGCTGAGATGCATGTGACCAGACTCTCCTGCTTCTAACACCTGCTAGCTGAGGGCCTTCCTTCAGATCTCAGTGTCTGTGAGACTTGGTTATTAAATGCATGAAATACACATGATGCTTCGTGCTCCACCGGGCTGTTTAGAAAGATCACATGGGCTGATGTTTGTGGCAGCACCTACCATACTATCTCAACACACAGTGGGGATGCTGCCCAAACTCATGGATGATTTGATTTGATGCATATCTAGGGGCATCTGCTATATAATCAGTACTCACCCTGAACCACATCTTTGAAGTGCCACAATCCATTCATTTGTTAGCCGTTGAGTGAGCCAACAGACAACCTTCCTGGCCTCAAAGAGCTCACAGTCTCAGGAAGCTGACAGGTGATAAACAAGTGAGCATGCACATCAAAGACAAACACACCAGGTGCAATGACTTATGCCTATAATCCTAGCACTTTGTAAGGTAGAGGTGGGAGGATTACTTGAACCCAAGGTTTCGAGAATAGCCTTGGGAACATAGCAAGGTAAATAAACAGATTAATGAAACTAAATAGAAACCAGAAACAGAATCACAAAAAATATGGGCAACTGATTTTTGTGAAAGGTATGAAGGCATTTCAGTAGGAAAAAAAAAAAAAAGAACTTTAAGCCATACCTCATACCTCATATCATTTGCAGAAATTAACTCAAAATGTGTCATAGACCTAAATGTAAGTTTCAAATTATAAAACTTTTAGGAGAAAATATGAAAGAAAATTGTATAAACACGTGTGTATAACAAGGCCTGTACATGAATGTTCATAGCAGCATTATAAAAACTGAAACAACCCAAGCTGGGCTTGGTGGCTCAGCCTGTAATCCCGTGCCTTGGGAGGCTGAGATGAGTGAATTGCCTGAGCCTGCGGGTTCGAGACCCACCTGGGCAACTTGGTGAGACCTCATCTCTATAATAAATCAAAAAATCAGCCGGGCGTGGTAGCACGCGCCTGTAGTTCCAGCTACTCGGAAGACAGAGGTGGAAGGATTGCCGGAGCCCAGCAGGCCGAGGCTGCGGTGGTCGGGAGCGGCCACTGCACTCCAGTCTGGGCGACAGAGTGAGACTTCAACTCAAAATAAATAAATAAATAAATAAATAAAAATAAAAACTGAAACAACCCAAATACCCACCAACAGATGAATGCACAAACAAATTGTGGTGCAACCATATGATGGAACATAACTCAGAAATAAAAAGGAATGAACTATTGTAAAGATAAGTCAATATATTTGTATGCGTATATTCACATGCATGCAAATGTATCGTTTGACAGAAGTAAATCTTTTGCTTATGCCCTATAGTTGTTGCTTTGTTTTCCCAAGGTTTATTTTCTTTCTTATCCCTGTGGTAAAATATTGGCATGAGATCCCAAAAAACATTAGCATGTTTCAAAAGGCTGTACTTATGAATCGACTTTTATACCAGATCTATGTGGACAAACATTCTATGGCCAGAAGGAAAAATGATCAAGAGCAACAACAAAAAAAAGATGAGTGTAAATAAAATACAATAGAAATGGAATATTCAACAGGAAGTTAGATGATTGAAATGTGAGGAATATTAAAACGAGAAACACTGTGGTGAGTAAAGAAAACAGATCTATTTTCTCTATCATGTCTAATCACTCCAGAACCTCTTTTTCTGAGCCAAATGACCTGAAATCTTATGAATGGACTGAGAAAAGAGGTCAGCCTTCTTTCTAAACCCATATTCTAAAGGAGCAAAGAACTTGACAGGGAAAAGATGTAATGTGTGCACATGAAGCTACAGTGAAGGTATTCCAACTTTAAAAGTACCAGAGAAAATGCACACATGTCATTTCCCACTTTATATAACATTCAAATGATCACTCCTAAATTATTTTATCTTGATGGTTTATTTTGCTATGAAAAAAAAAATTTAGTTTCATAAGGTCCCATCTATCAATTTTTGCTTTTGCAGCATTTGCCTTTGATGACTCGGCCATAGATTCATTGCCTACCTAGATGTTCAGGATGGTGTTCCCTAAGTTTTCTTCTAAAATTGTTATAGTTTGAGGTTTCAAATTTAAACCCTTGATCCATTTTGAGTTAATTTTTGTGTATGGTGGTATGTAGAGGTACAGTTTCATTTTTCTGCATGTGGTCAGCCAGTTTTCCCAGCACCGTTTACTAAATATGATTTCATTTCCCCAAATTTTTATTTTCATTGGTTTTGTCAAAGATGAGTTGGTTGAAAGTTTGTGGTTTTATTTCCAGGTTGCTGTTCCATGGGTATATATGTCTATTTTTGTACCAATACCGTAATGTCTTGGTTACTGAAGCCTGGCAGCAAAGTTTGAAGTCTGAAGATATGATGCCTCAAGTTTTATTCTCTTTGTTGAGTTTTAGCTATTTGAGCTCTTTTTTTTTTTTGCTTTCATATGAATTTCTGTATTGCCTTTTCTAGGTCTGTGAAAAATGTTGCTGGCAATTTGATAGGAATGGCATTAAATCTGTAGGTTGCTTTGGGTACAATGGACCTCTTGATAATATTCATTCTTGCAATCAATGAGCATGGAAAGTTTTTTCATTTGATTGTGTCATCCTTGATTTCTCTGAGCAGTGTTTTGTAGTTCTCATTGTAAAAGTTGTTCGCCTCTTTAGTTAGGAGGATGTCATGGTATCATATTTTTGTGATTGTGGCTACTGTGAAGGGGATTGTGTCATTTATTTGGCTCTCAGTGTGCTTGTTGTTGGTGTATAAGAATGCAACTGTTTTTGCACTTTGATTTTGTATCTCAAGACTTTACCAGGGTCATTTATCAGTGCAAAGACATTTTTTGACATAGTCTATGTGTTAATATAGTTAAAATGTTTGTGTTCTTTTATTATTTTCTTATGACATATCAATTTCTATGTGAAAGGCATATATATATATACAAGGAGAGCATAAATTAGTGGGTAATTTGTTAATGGATATAATATATCTATGGAATCATTAGAATATATGTTGAAATATATTTGGGGCAATGGAATATTTTTATATTAAAAAGAAAATTAAAACTGTGAGAAAGAACATATTCAATATTTTTTCTAATTGTGCACACATTAATCTCAAATTATTATTAAAAATTATGTTCTGGTCAGGCTCGGTGGCTCAGCCTGTAATCCTGCGCTTTGGGAGGCCGAGGTGAGTGGATTGCCTGAGCCCGCGGGTTCAAGACCCGCCTGGGCAACTTGGTGAGACTTCATCTCTACAATAAAAATCAAAAATTTAGCCGGGCGTGGTTGCACGCACCTGTAGTTCCAACTACGTGGAATGCTGAGGCAAAAGGATCTCCGGAGCCCGGCAGATTGAGGCTGCGGTGGCTGGGAGTGGCCACTGCACTCCAGTCTGGGCGACAGAGTGACTCCAACTCAAAAAAAAATATTAAGTTCTAAAGCTGGGCATGGTGGCTCATGCCTATAATTCCAGCATTTTAGGAGGCTGAGGTGAGAGGATTATTTGAGCCCAGAAGTTTGGGACCAGACTAGGCAATATACTGAGACTTTATTTAAACACACACACACACACACACACACACACACACACACACACACACACAGTTAGTTGGATGTGATAGCATGCACCTATAGTCCTAGCTACTTGAGAGGCTGAGATGGAGAATCATTTGAGCCCAGGTATTCAAGGCTGTGGTCGGCAGTGACCATTCACTGCACCCCAATCTTGACAGAGCAAGACCCCAACTTAAATAATTAATTAATTAAAGTTCTAGGTATAAGGCAAGAGTTGACCTAACTACTGATACATATAAAATAGAAAAATTTCTATATTATATCCAAAAGCAGGTTATAAAATCAAAATCATATTTTTCTTCCTTGAGTCCCATGATACCTAAAAAACTGTTTATAGGGTTTTTGTATGTAATTGTTTAATGAGAGACTGAATATTCCAGAAAATTTTTCTTTTCTTAGAGCATTTATCTCTTACCATTCTAAACTGAGACCAGAAAAATCTTCTAAAATGAAGTGGACCCACTGGATCTCAGGGAAATTTCATCTACAAACTTATTTTTAAAAGATTTCCATTTACAGCTTTTTATTTACTCCTTTGTTTGAAGGATATATATAGATAACAGAAATATTAGCCCTAATTACACTCAATCTATTCCCTCTCCTTTACAAATAGCATTGTTATGTGGTGATTGAGCACACAGGATTTGGAGTTTAGGCAAATGAGTTTAACCATAGGGATTGTAAAAGATATTACCATATCTTTTCTAGAAGTCACTGAGCTTCTCTATACATAAATTTATGTATGTTTAATTAACACAATAATATATAAAATCATTGAAGTCAAGATTGAACTAGATAACTTATAGCATCTTTTATAAGACTTTCTATGTTGTAGATGCATAAGATGTATTAGATATTGTTATAATTTTTATCACTAATAATGATATTCAACAATTCAATATCTGACTTTGAAACCATAAAGTCTCCTATTTTGCATTTAATTAGCAAACAAAATAATTGGCCATACTGTAGGTGAATATGTGATATGTGCTTATAGAATCTGAGGTGTAGCATTCTAATACAGGAAATTAATTAAACCCTTGTATCTCCCAAAATTTTTTAATGAACATAGTTAGCTTTTCTCTCATAGTGATAAAGTACACAACAAATTGGGCAGTTATTAGTATTATTATTGCAATTGCCATGGATAAGGTAAGCTTAGGTCTATGCCTCCAATGCCTTTTGCTACTTTCTCAGCCAACATACACATAGAAACAGACACACACACACACACACACACACACACACACACACACACACACATAGTCAGCAAAGATATATTTTAGA